AAAAAAAAAAAGATTGATCATCACTAAATTTTTTCAGTCTTGCGCACACACCCCGGAGTGTTTTTAAAAAACAAGACTAACCCCGTATGGGCCATACGTACTGGCTGCTCATCCTTTACCCACCACACTAGCCTCTAACTATATAATTTGTATGAAAATATAAAACTGAACAAAATGCAATGAACCTTACAAAAGTATTACAAAAAAAATATCTCTGAAGAGTAGCAGTAGTTGTATTTGTTGTGTTTGTAGTCGTTGTTTAGACGCAGTGGTTGTTGTAATTGTTGTGTTGTAGTTTTAACTCTTGCTGTAGTTATTTACGAAACAATAAAGGATAAAAAATATGTAAATAAAAAATAAAAGCAACGAACAAACACTTAACACAAATACATCATACCAAGTTGAAATAACAACCATCAATTAAAACCCTCATTAAATTATTAATAATCTCTGAAGAGAATATCTACAACTCAACAAGGTTGTGCTGCCTATTTTAGGCCTTGGGACGGCTGGCAGCAATAGCCTGCTTGACCAGATAATCGCTAATAAATTCTGGTTTACAGAACAGGACTCTGAAAATAAGATAATGGTGCATCTTCCAAACGTCATTATAAGCGCTTCTACTACTTCGAATATATTTTGTCGCCGTTTCTTTTTTCGTTAAAATGCAGTCAGGCAGTAAACTTAAAATTGTAATGAGAGTCTAAACATTCTGAATTATTTAGTAAAGGTTTCAAGTTAAACTAATTTTATGGCATTGCGATCAAGTTCCAGTAACTTTTAAGCACAGCCTTACCTTTATGGTCTCATTCTCGTACTTGTCGGATCTGACGCCGTTGGAGAGGAGAACCCCGTCTCTCTTCCAGGAGAAGCTCACCTCTGGTGCTCCCTCCGCCAAGCACTGCAGCCGTCCCGTCCTTCCCACCTCTGCCGCTGCCCGGTTCAACAGCTGCAAATTGTGGCAGAAGTTAGCATAATATAATCAGGAATGATAAAATGAAAAACGTTTATGCGCCTAAAGAACGAGAAAGACTTCATTTTCAGGAATGGGCGGTGTCCGAACCTGTGGTCAACAGTGTAAAAAATCGAGAAAAAAAGAAAACCACGTCAGCTGTTTACCACCAAGACAGGGTGACCCAAAGTCGAAAACACCTTCACCATCGCCCATTCAGTGCCTATGTTGCCCCCCCCCCTCCCCCCAAAAAAAAAATGTGCGGACACCACCGTTCAGATGACTCGCTAAACTCGTAAGGGCCATACAGCACGTGAAAAAATGGGTATTTGGTTTGATCCAAGAGAACGATAGTTCCAATTCCTTGAATTAACAGCCCTTCACCAGCATCTAGTCTCCTCCGTAGAAGGGCAGAAAGGGAAGACACATATTAACAAAAATTGATGGGAGGAAGGAGCAAATGAATGTCTGCAAGAGTAAAGGAAAGCAAATGTTAGCTTAAATATATTACTCTTATTATAGTTATGTGAAAAACTAACCCGGGTGACTGAGGGCGTGGTGATGGAAGGTTGAACTTCCATCACCATTAACTGTACTCATAGTTGCACAAGTAGCCCAAACACAGATTACTGTTGTTGATAAACTTGTATACGTATGGAAGAGACTGTACGGAAGTCTTACAATGAAATTTAATCAAACGAGAAACGTAGATAGAAGGGAAGTTGATAAACTTGATGGATAGAGGCAGTGAGAGTCATAACTGCGAACTGCTCAAACAGGGTAAACTGATCGATAAGAGGGCAAATTTTGTGTATATATACTTAGAGGAATTTATCAGCGTATGTACACCGAAAGGTGTGATCCTTTCGGTGTGTGTTTACCGAGCGGTATGTAATTCTCAGTATATCTACACGGAAACATTGCACCGAGTTTTACAATGAGATGAAATGTATGAGTTTTAACATTAAGATGGAACATTAGAATGCATGCAATACTGCAAGGACAAAACATGTGAAAAATCTGCTTTCATGTACAGAATTAATTTATACCATTGACTTCATACACACACATGCCAATGCCTGTCATATTTACAGCACATCGTTTACGTTCAATACTTCACTTTCACTTCAGTAAGAGAGCTGAGAGCATATACAGTGTAATTATAGCGGGGCTTTAGGAGTAACTAACCCTATATTTCTCACTGTGGGAGCTTTCTTGAGAAACTGTGACCATAAACTCACACCTGTGGGATTGTTCCGAGTGCAACAATTTACTGTTAACTGTGGAATGCAGTTAATGAACTATTCACCTCTGTGACGTGCTGTGGGAATATGTAACCAATACAATTTTTTAGGGGGTATTAATTGTGATCAAATACTAATACTTTTTTTGGTGGTATTGAGGAAACGTTGTCACATACCACCACTTTTTCTTGAGGTTGTTAAGTAAATATGACGAACAGAACCATTTTTATGTAAAGTACAGTTGTGCTTTGAGTAGTTTTTGATATATTTTCACCAATAAAAAATGACTGCATTATCTCAACTTGCTGAACTAATTACTATAATAAATATTCTTCTCTTGAGCTGCATTTCTATAGTAACTATATTTTTCTCATGTATACCAAAATGTTCTCATTTAACTAATGACTGTTCTCATATAGTTGTCTAGTACAACTAGTTACTATCCCTTCAACACCAGCTGTTATTTTCCTGTAATTAGCTACAGCTCTCCCAACAAACCATCAGCTGATGCCCTGGTTGCTGTGAAACCCATTACACACAGACCATTGTTATCCTACAGCCAATTAGTGTCTTACACTTAAGGCCTGTCGACAGGAGGAGGGTTAAGACCGTATCTCACTTGTATTCAGAGGAATATAAAGACTACTTTAATCACTACAATAGGGACTAAAGGAAAACTCTGTGCATATACACCCGAGATACATGCACCTTAATTGTCACCGAAGTGGTATTTAACCCAGGAAGAGGCCTCTGCTGCTACCCTTCCCTCCGTAACTTCTACCCATATACACATCAACCCACTCATACAGGTTGGCTGGTTGCCTTGCTGTGTTCCTTCCTTCCTTCCTCCTCCGCCTCACAGGAGCAATCACCTTGCTATTGACTCACCTGCGAGTGCTCCACCTGTGGCCTGGTCTTGACCACGAGAGTGACGTTTGCCGTGGCAACCTTCCCAATGCTATTGTTGACAACGCACGAGTAGACGCCGGTGTCGTTCCTGTTGGCCCTCAGCACCTTCAAGGAGGCTTTCTTTCCCCTATAGGATAGTGGATGTAATGTGATAGAGGCTTATACCCTATTTATGACTTTCTAGTGTCACTGTAAAGTCTTATTATCTAATTTACTACTTTTAGTATTATTAGTAATTTCATTTTATTAGTTTTATTTTCTTTGGAGTCTTCTTAACACTGTTATTAGAAATTGTACTTTCATATTTATTATTTTACGACTAAATAACAATGTGTTAATTGGTTCACCTCAAAACAGTTATATTCTCTTGCAAAAGAAAAAAAAAAGAAAAAAAAAAATGCTAATTCCTGCCAACTCGAAATTACTCAACAAGCCACATGAAAACTTAAAGCTTCAGAGCTCTAAACTGCTCGTAAAAATCTACATGACAGTGTTTGACCTGACCACAGCAACAGTACCACCACATCCTAGAAGCATCAGTACTACCACTCCAGCAGCAGTATCTCCATCACCCCAGGAGCACCATCCCTATACCAGAAGTGCCACCACCCAAGCAACAGCAACAGTTCTACCACACCAGCAGTCTCAACATCACCACTACCACCAGCAACAGTTGGGAATCTTTACTGAGGAAACGTTTCACTATACAGTGGCTTCATCAGTCAAATACAAAGGAGAATGGTGTTGCACACGTGTCTAATTCATCACCACTACTACTACCACCATTACTACCACCACCACCACGCCCAAGCAACAGCAGCATGACATCCACCTTGTTTGATGGGATATGAGTGGGAAACATGGCTAGCTCTTATAACTATCGTATAGAAAAGGGTAGCAGCACACTGCTGATGTATCCACCTTTGCAATCTTCTGTATCTATCTTCTCTACCATTCCCTTCACATCCCTCCTAAAGCAGCTCCTCCTTATTCACCACTACATGTTACTCTCCCAAAGAAATCTACCATTCCTACTTTCTTCTACCCCTCCTGCTGTATCCCTTCCCTACTGGTCTTCCTCCACTCCTGTTGCTGCTGTTGCAACCCTTTCCCCCATCTCATCCTCTTCCTCTCAATTCCTTCCTTCCTCCTCCAGCTTTCCCTTGCACATCCTCCTTCCTCTCTCATCCTCATTAAGGTTCCTTTCGCCTCCTCTGTCCCGTCTCCACCTACCCGTTCTTCTGCTGTTGCTGCTGCTTCTCACCCATCCCCTTCCATCCTCATGCGTTCCCTATCTTTCTGGTTTCCCTTTCCTCCTGCAGGATACTCACCCAAAGGACTGCTGGGTACGGGTGAAGGGGTAATCCTGCCTACTCCACTGCATCATGTCTTCGGTAAGAGGGTTGCCGTCGGCAGCGCACTCAAGGTTCGCGTCCTGCCCCTCCGAAACCGTCACCACCTCCGACGTGTACTTGATCGTTGGCGGGTCTGTTGAGACGTGGGAGAGAAAGGTGTTACATGGGAAAAGGTTGGACAAATACGTGGGTGGAAATGGTAGGTTTTGAGAAGGACCTGTCTCGTAGGGGCCAATAGGCCTGCTACAGCGTTCCTACATTCTTATGTTCTTACGTGTCCAAGCTTACCTCGTAGCTTGTTTTTGTAACCGAGGTTCATAAAATGGCGATTAACGTCGACGTGTAAACAAGTCCCATATGCAGTAAATAGGACATTTCATTAAGGAAAAGCTTCGCTAACCAGTAGAATGAGAGAACAACTGGATGGAGAAATATTTCTTGTCCACAGTTTGTATTTATGTGCGACAACAAACAAGGAGTTAGCTCTCTGTTTGTTGTGTCACTTTTTCCAAGTTTTGTGTGTGTGTGTGTGTGTGTGTGTGTGTGTGTGTGTGTGTGTGTGTGCGCGAGCGCATGAGCGCCCCCCCATCCCTCTTATTCTCAGTTACTGTGTTGTCTCAAGTTTTTGTCTTATGACTCGGTCCTCTTATCTTCCGTTTCTCTGTTGTATCACTTCTCTTTCATCCATCGTTTGTCTATTTTCCGCTGTGCGAGTCTGTATGTTTCACCTGTGTGCCTCAGGGTGCTTCTACATTAATATGTGCTTGTGTGTGTGTGTAGCCGCCTAACTGTGGTTGCAAGGGTCGAGTCACAGCTCCTGGCCCCGCCTCTTCATTGGTCGCTACTAGGTCAATCTTCCTGCTCCATGTGCTTTATCATACTTCTTAAAGCTATGTATGGATCCTGCCTCCACTACATCACTTCCCAGACTATTCCACTTTCTGACAACTGTGTGTGTGTGTGTGTGTGTGTGTGTGTGTGTGTGTGTGTGTGTGTGTGTGTGTGTGTGTGTGTGTGTGTGTGTGTGTGTGTGTGCGTGTATGTGTGTGCGTGTATGTGTGTGCGTGTGTGCGCGCCCGCGCGCCTCTCTCTCTTAAAGAAGGTCATGAGAAACCGCTCAAAGAAGACAAACAAAGAGACTCAGTTTTTTCCCCTCCGGTTATAGCCAAGACAAAATAAATTATTTGCTTGCTGTTGTGCTACAGAAAAATAAGAAAATGGAAAAAGAAAAGGAGTGTTCTTGAATGGATTGAAGGACCATTACACAAGTGGCAGATGATTTGCCCACGGAGCAGCGGAAGACAGTCCCTAGGTACGCTATGAGGAAGAGGAAGATGGGCTAGAGGAGGGAGAAGAAAAAGAGAAAAAGAAATAGGAGAAAGAGGAAGAGGAAAAAAGGGGAAAGAGGGGAAAGAAAAGAACTGGAAAGTGGAGGAAGAGGAAAGATGGGAAAAAAGAGGAAAGAGGGGAAAAAAGAGATCGGAAATGAAAAGAACGAGGGAGGAGAAACAGGAGAGGGGCTGATAGAAGAGGTAGCTGGAACAGAAACGAAGAAGAGACTGAGGAAGAGGGATGAGAAAAAGCAAACCAGGATTTGAAAGGTGTGCGCGGAAGAGAATAAGAACAAGTTAGGAGTACAAGAGCGACGGAAAGAGTGGGAGCAATATGAAACAGAAAGAGAAAGACGAGGGAGGAGAAAGAGAGGGAATCTAAAATCTGAAAAGGGTTGAATCTAGAATCTGAAAAAGGGTTGAATCTAGAATCTGAAAAAGGGTTGAATCTAGAATCTGAAAAAGGGTTGAATCTAGAATCTGAAAAGGGTTGAATCTAGAATCTGTAAAGGGTTCAAAGAATATGTCGGAACAAAAAAAAATGTGTAGATGGTTGTTGTGCAAAATGTTATTTTGGGAGATGTAAACAAAACTAATACAATATATTGAATTAGGTGGCTAAAACACGCAGGGGCGTGTATCGCGCCTGCCTAAACGTAAACAAGACGGCTGGAGGTTTTAGGTTAGCTAACCTAACCTAGCCAAACGTCACCTCGTCTAACCTAATCTAGCCTTAACTAAACGTAACCTATTACCATTATTTATACAAATAAAAATCTGCACAAGAAATATCTGTTTATTTCATGATGTATATAGGATGCATGTATAGAAAGCTATAAAATATTGACGGAGTTGTCGGCAACTATAGCCCCCTTCAACCCCCCCCCCCCCCCAAAAAAAAAGAGCTTAAAGAAAAAAATTTTAAAATCATAACGAAAGGAGAAAATGGAAAAAATTGTTAAATGATCTCGGACGTAAACAAGAAATCGTGCCAAAAAGGTGAAGTGTGTTGTTGAGTCTGTCTGTCCGTCTGGGTGTGTGTGTACTCACCTAGTTGTACTCACCTAGTTGAGGCTGCGGGGGTCGAGTCCGAGCTCCTGGCCCCGCCTCTTCACTGATCGCTACTAGGTCACTCTCCCTGAACCGTGAGCTTTATCATACCTCTGCTTAAAGCTATGTATGGATCCTGCCTCCACTACATCGCTTCCCAAACTATTCCACTTACTGACTACTCTGTGGCTGAAGAAATACTTCCTAACATCCCTGTGATTCATCTGTGTCTTCAACTTCCAACTGTGTCCCCTTGTTACTGTGTCCAATCTCTGGAACATCCTGTCTTTGTCCACCTTGTCCATTCCTCTCAGTATTTTGTATGTCGTTATCATGTCCCCCTATCTCTCCTGTCCTCCAGTGTCGTCAGGTTGATTTCCCTTAACCTCTCCTCGTAGGACATACCTCTTAGCTCTGGGACTAGTCTTGTTGCAAACCTTTGCACTTTCTCTAGTTTCTTTACGTGCTTGGCTAGGTGTGGGTTCCAAACTGGTGCCGCATACTCCAATATGGGCCTAACGTACACGGTGTACAGGGTTCTGAACGATTCCTTATTAAGATGTCGGAATGCTGTTCTGAGGTTTGCTAGGCGCCCATATGCTGCAGCAGTTATTTGGTTGATGTGCGCTTCAGGAGATGTGCCTGGTGTTATACTCACCCCAAGATCTTTTTCCTTGAGTGAAGTTTGTAGTCTCTGGCCCCCTAGACTGTACTCCGTCTGCGGTCTTCTTTGCCCTTCCCCAATCTTCATGACTTTGCACTTGGTGGGATTGAACTCCAGGAGCCAATTGCTGGACCAGGTCTGCAGCCTATCCAGATCCCTTTGTATTCTGCCTGGTCTTCGATCGAGTGAATTCTTCTCATCAACTTCACGTCATCTGCAAACAGGGACACCTCAGAGTCTATTCCTTCCGTCATGTCGTTCACAAATACCAGAAACAGCACTGGTCCTAGGACTGACCCCTGTGGGACCCCGCTGGTCACAGGTGCCCACTCTGACACCTCGCCACGTACCATGACTCGCTGCTGTCTTCCTGACAAGTATTCCCTGATCCATTGTAGTGCCTTCCCTGTTATCCCTGCTTTGTCCTCCAGTTTTTGCACCAATCTCTTGTGTGGAACTGTGTCAAACGCCTTCTTGCAATCCAAGAATATGCAATCCACCCACCCCTCTCTCTCTTGTCTTACTGCTGTCACCATGTCATAGAATTCCAGTAGGTTTGTGACACAGGATTTCCCGTCCCTGAAACCATGTTGGCTGCTGTTTGATGAGATCATTCCTTTCTAGGTGTTCCACCACTCTTCTCCTGATAATCTTCTCCATGTGTGTGTGTGTGTGTGTGTGTGTGTGTGTGTGTGTGTGTGTGTGTGTGTGTGTGTGTGTACTCACCTAATTGTGGTTGCAGGGGTCGAGACTCAGCTCCTGGCCCCGCCTCTTCACTGATCGCTACTAGGTCCTCTCCCTCTCTGCTTCCTGAGCTTTGTCATATCTCTTCTTAAAACTATGTATGGCTCCTGCCTCCACTACTTCACTTGCTAGGCTATTCCACTTCCTGACGACTCTATGACTGAAGAAATACTTCCTAACGTCCCTGTGACTCGTCTGAGTCTTCAGCTTCCAGTTGTGACCCCTTGTTTCTGTGTCTCCTCTCTGGAACATCCTATCTCTGTCCACCTTGTCTATTCCCCGCAGTATCTTGTATGTCGTTATCATGTCTCCCCTGACCCTTCTGTCCTCCAGTGTCGTCAGTCCGATTTCCCTCAACCTTTCCTCGTACGACATTCCCTTGAACTCTGGGACTAGCCTTGTTGCAAACCTTTGTACTTTCTCTAACTTCTTGACGTGCCTGACCAGGTGTGGGTTCCAGACTGGTGCTGCATACTCCAGTATGGGCCTAACATACACAGTGTACAGTGTCTTGAACGATTCCTTATTAAGGTATTGGAACGCTATTCTCAGGTTTGCCAGGCGCCCGTATGCTGCAGCAGTTATTTGATTGATGTGTGCCTCCGGTGACGTGCTCGGTGATATGGTCACCCAAGGTCTTTCTCTCTGAGTGAGGTCTGTAGTCTTTGTCCACCTAGCCTATATTCTGTCTGCAGTCTTCTTTGCCCCTCCCCAATCTTCATGGCTTTGCATTTGGCAGGGTTGAATTCGAGAAGCCAGTTTCTGGACTACATGTCCAGGTCTCTTTGCAGTCCTGCCTCATCCTCATCCGATTTAATTCTTCTCATCAGCTTCACATCATCTGCGAATAGGGACACTTCAGAGTCTATTCCTTCCATCATGTCGTTCGCATATACCAAAAATAGCACTGGTCCTAGAACTGACCCCTGTGGGACCCCGCTCGTCACAGGCGCCCACTGTGATATCTCTTCACGTACCATGACTCGTTATTGCCTCCCTGTCAGGTATTCCCTGATCCACTGCAGTGCCCTCCGTGTTATATGCGCCTGATCCTCCAGTTTTTGCACTAATCTCTTGTGGGGAACTGTGTCAAAGGCCTTCCTGCAGTCTAGGAAAATGCAATCAACCCACCCCTCTCTCTCGTGTCTTATTTCTGTTACCTTGTCATAAAACTCCAGAAGGTTTGTGACACAGGATTTGCCTTCCATGAACCCATGCTGGTTTTCATTTATAATCTTGTTCCGTTCCAGGTGTTCCACCACTCTCCTCCTGATAATCTTCTCTATGACTTTGCACACAATACATGTCAGAGACACAGGTCTGTAGTTTAGTGCCTCATTTCTGTTTCCTTTCTTAAATATGGGGACTACATTTGCTGTCTTCCATTTCTCAGGTAGTTGCCCAGTTTCAAGGGATGTGTTGAAGATTGTGATTAGGGGCACGCACAGCATCTCTGCTCCTTCTCTAAGAACCCACTGGGAGATGTTGTCCGGTCCCATCGCCTTTGAGGTATCAAGGTCACTTAGCAGCTTCTGCACCTCCTCCTCGGCTGTTCGTATGTCATCCAACACTTGTTGGTATATTCCCTTTTGATGTTCCCTTCCGTGCTGTCTTCCCAGAGCCCTTCCTGTCTCTACTGTAAAAACTTCCTTAAATCTCCTGTTTAGCTCCTCACATACCTCCTGATCATTTCTTGTGAGTTCTCCACCTTCTGTCCTTAATCTGATCACCTGGTCTTTGACTGTTGTCTTCCTCCTGATGTGGCTATACAACAGTTTCTGGTCAGTCTTGATTTTCGATGCTATGTTATTTTCATACTGTCGCTGGGCCTCCCTCCTTACCTGTGCATACTTGTTCCTGGCTCTGCGACTAATCTCCCTATTTTCATGTGTTCTCTGCCTTCTGTACTTTTTCCATTCTCTATTGCACTTTTTGCCTCCTTACACCGTCGGGTAAACCAGGGGCTCGTTCTGGTCTTCCCATTGTTTCTGTTGCCCTTGGGAATAAACCTTTCCACTGCCTCCTTGCATTTTGTTGTTGCATATTCCATCATTTCATTTACTGGCTTTCCTGCGTGTGCGTGTGTGTGTGTGTTGTGTGTGTGTGTGTGTGTGTGTGTGTGTGTGTGTGTGTGTGTGTGTGTGTGTGTGTGTGTGTGTGTGTGTGTCTCAGTAAAGCAGTGTCACTGTAGCAGAATTTATACCCAACTGTACCACGGTCGTGTAAGTATATATACAAATATTATATAGTTATTAAAGAGTATATACTCACACGAGTACGTCTTGAATCAGTTCTGACAAAGAGCACTACCTAAAGTACATACATCAGAGAAGCACTTATACGAAGACTATTATAAAAAAAATTATAAACGCATTAAAAATGAATTAATGAGATAAACAACAGCCCTTCGTCCTCGATACTCGAGCAATTACTTACACTGCACGTTGAGGTAAACTTTTGCTACAGTGGCGCCCTCTTGGTTAGTAGCTTCCAGTTCGTAGTCGCCAGCGTCGTCAACGGTCACACCCCTGATGTATAGCAGAGGGCCGTCGGCCGCCACGTACGACCCAGTCGTGCTGCCCATAGTGTCCGGGTCGAGGGCGTAGGCGTGTCTCCAGGACTCGTCGATGACAGGGTCGGGTAGCGGGAGGCCGTGGCGGGTCCAGGAGTACAGTACGGGGCCAGGATTCGCCCGTGCCGTCAGGTTCAACACCTCTGACTCCCCTATCACCACGTCCACTACTTCAGGAGGATCAGACAGAAACGTCGGCGCATCTGTCGAGGAGAATATATGGGCTTTAAAACAGTTGAACTTATGATGACTGATCCACATGATTAACACAAACACCAAGGAAGGTTTCAATTATCTAAACCTCTCATGATACATAATTATTCATATGATTAAAGACAAACTGCAGTATGTGTTTGTGTATGTGGTATGTGTATATGTGGTATGTGCGCGCCTGCATGTATATATACACATGTACTCGTATATACAGTACAAAACGATAAAATAATTAACCAAGGGAAAGCGGAGAGTGAAGAAGGGTGGGAAGGATTGATGAGAAGCTTGTCCTAAGGAGCGAGGGAAGTAGGGAAAGAGAACTAACGAGGGGTCTGTTGTAACGGCAGGAAATTAACGAGGAGTCGGTCATTTGAGGAAGGGGAATGAACTAGCTAGGCCCGCCATTAGAAGAGCGGCGGGTGGACGAGAGCATTAACAAGAGCCCAGTGTTGTAGAGAAGAGGAGAATTAGCTAAGGACCGGTATTAAGTAGAGAGAATTAGTGAAGGTATGGTTGGTGTATGGGAGGAGAGAGAATTAACGGCCCTCTGCTACAAAGGAGAGAATGAGTTAACTAATGCGCAGTGATATGGAGGAAACAACAGTAACGAGGGTCTTGTGCTACAGGAAGGGGGATGGGAGGAGGGGTTGAAGAGAAGTAACGAGGGCGCGGAGCCACGGGGATGAGGGGAGAAAGATAATTAACGAGAGACCAGTGCTACGGGAGAGAAAGGGTAGAATTAATGAGGACCTGGTGCTACGGAGAAGAGACAATTAAGAAAAATCCGAAGTTTGACCCTTACCGCTCTAGGCTAGGATAAGATATGATATATTGAAGATATGTAACTGATAGGTAGGAAATATTCACGTAACACTGGTACCAATGTCATGGCTGGTAATGAGATTCTCGCAATATGTTGATAAATTCTCGGGTCTGGAGGTGGCAGAGAAATATATGACCCTTCAGGTTGAGTTTACAGTAACCTATTCTGTGTTTACACTGGCGGTGGGTGGCCCAGAGCAAAGATCGAGTGTAGAGAGTCCAATCTTTAGCTCAGATTGAGTCCAAATCGTTTTGAATACTTGGGGTCAAGAAAGTGAGACACAATTTAATAGGGAGACCTGGAAAGTGTCAAGAGTCCACCACGGGAGAGCCCGTGGTCGCTGCTGCCGTGGTCAACCGCATAGCCAACATCTACCTTACTTTACCTGTGACATGCTTGTGAAAGGTTTCAAGGGTTTTTCTAACCCCCCCCTCCTCCCCTATCATGTTCCTCAAGGCTCGGCCTGAGGCCCGATATTTTTTGTTGACTGCCTAGTTAACAAGGCTTTTACTGCTAATTGCCTACATGACCTTCAACTTAAGTAATCAGGCACTTTAAGCAGGTGGTGGTCCAGTTAACTCTTGAAAACTTCTATATTTGTTCCTTTTGTCATTAAACACCAGGGAGCGCCTGGAAGCACTTGACTTGTACTCACTAGAGCGCAGGCGAGAGAGAGATATCATAATCTACACCTGGAAGATTCTGGAGGGTCTGGTCCCTAATATGTACACAGCAATCACTCCGTACGAAAGTAAAAGACTTGGCAGGCGATGCAACATACCCCCAGTGAAAAGTAGGGGCGTCACTGGTACACTAAGAGAAACACAATAAGTGTCCGGGGCCCAAGACTGTTCAACAGCCTCCCACCAGCAATAAGGGGCATTACGGGAAGACCCCTGGTTGTCTTCAAGAGGGAGCTGGACAGATACCTAAAGACGGTGCCGGATCAGCCGGGCTGTGGTTCGTTCGTTGAATTGCGTGCGGCCAGCAGTAACAGCCTCGTTGATCAGGCCCTGATCCACCAGGAGGCCTGGTCGTGGACCGGGCTGCGGGGGCGTTGACCCCCGCAATGCCCTCCAGGTAGACGGTCACAGTGCTAACACCAATGAACTTGTCACCATGTGATTTTTTCCCTAATTAAAAAAACAAACGTCAACAAGGGTTAGACATCCTGTAACAAGGGTCCTTGTTAAGACTCTTTTGGAGAGGAGTCGAGCTAGCAATGCTGTCAGTTCCCCCCCCCCCCCCCATCCCGTTTTAATCATAGTTGTGCTAATTTTAATACATGAATAATTCATGGGCTCTTCATTCTGTCACCTTGGATTAGCTCCCAGTTATAATTGTCACTATCTCCATAAGGCTAATGATACCTAAATTATGTAAAGACAGCTAAAATTATTAAAATCACCTTATCAACGTTATCTGTTCTGAAATTGGGAACCATTAGTTTCCATTTTAAATCGTATGATTCTGTGATCACTTATTCCCTAATCTCCTACCTTACCTCACATGATTCAAAAAGGTCACAGTAGCCTGTGGTAAAAACAAGATTTAAAATATTGTTACCCCGAGCAGCCGTGGTGACATCTTAGGTTAAAAAAGTTCTCCTTGATGATATTGACGAGTCTGGCGGCCTCCTGGTTCCCTGATCGAGTGCTCCATTTTATGTTAGGCACGTTAAAGTTACCAACTAATATTACCTCATTGTTCAAACAAATTGCCTTAATTTCGTCATACAAATGGCCGTCGTCATCCCATTTTTTTTGTGTTGTGTGTGTGTGGGGGGGGTGAGGGTGACGATACACTACAACGAATATATTTTTCTTCCCATTAGTTTGAATTTCTACATACACACAGTCATATTCCACTACATAATGCTTGTGAGGGTGGTCAAATTAGGATTCATTAAGAGATATATCTGCGATTTCTGCTTGGGCATATACGGATAATTCGTCTTTTTTTTTTTAATACTGTAAGCATTTGTGTAAAGAAATGCTAATTCACCAAACTGTCTCTTCCCTCCTGCAAAATCCGACCCAATCTTGCTTCAACATGTTTATTTCGGGGCGGGGGAAGAGAGGGAGGGAGACAGAGACGAGACAGACAGACACAGACATTCTGATTTAATGGGACAATTTTGTCCCACCGCCACTGAGTACCACCACTGTAATCAAACAACACTCCAGAATTGGAAGCAGCAGTAAGCGTCGTTTAAAACTGGTCCTAGTCTCTCTCCAGTCTAGAGACAATATCAAGTGGGAGGCTTGAGAGACGTGTAGGGAAGGCACTCTTTTATATTCCTCAGCCTGGGCATATTCTAGGTGCTCACCAACCACAAACTGAAATGGATTGGAGGGTGGAGCGGAGATACACGGCCAGATATAGTTAACGACCCGTCCTGGTGATAAGGCGAAATACTCCCAGCCTCGCTCTACACCAGGGAGGTCCACCAGTGCCTTAGCGACGGTTGCTGTGGTTCACGTTACGGCTGCGGTTGTGGTGGTGGTGGTTGTGGTGGTTGTGGTGGTGGTTGTGGCGGTGGTGGCGGCGGCGGCGGCTGCTGCTGCTACTACTGTTGTTGTTGTTGTGGCGCCTGCTACTTTTGTTGGTGCATCAGTGGCGGTGGCGGCTGCCATGGCCGGTCAGAGCCAAGTTCTAACCCATCATCACTTGTGTCCTTGACGCCATTATTGTGCCACGACCCCACCAGAGCCCGCACCACTAAACAGGTAATCTGTCCAAAGACTCCGGGTCAGGTGATTTTTCCCGGACGAATAAAGTAACAATATCACCCAAAATAGGCATAACCACCCCGCGCATGCGTGAGTCGTGACGACACGCACCCACCTGAGAATCATGAAGGACTGCCGCCATCCACTTACATCCATGCTAATGTTAGCTCTGACTCGAGTGTGATAATGTCAGAAATTTCTATCGTCATTTAATATTCCCATCTATCACTGTGTTCAGTTGCTTACCCGTAGATTATTATTAATATAAGGAAAGATTAACATGCAAGTCATACGGAGCCTGGGGAATGAGAGATAATCAAATCTTGTATGAGGAAGCGGAGGAACAACTAATCTCTAGAACACCCAGAATGCTTCCGAGACCAGAGTAGCAATTTCCAACTAATTTTAGGTCACTGATAATTAATGTCATAGTTGAAATTGTTTGTTAGCTCTACTTTTCAATATACACCTACGTGTCACAACAGGTTCCAACAGGCTTGTGGCAGTGTTTCTCACCACACTCACAATCTCACTGACCTTCATTATTGTTCCAGCAGTCATAGGTGGTTGTGCTGTGCAAGTTTGTATTTTGAGGTAAAAGGTAGGTGATTTTCTTAGCCAAACACTTTTTAAAGTTATAATGCATGTTCACTGAGCAAGCTATTGATATGCATGCAAGGCATATTATATAAATTTTCAGGTCGCTCCTGCCTCTCACAACTACTGGATCACTATGATATGGCCTTGGATGTACTGGAAGAAAATCAGAATGCAGATGTAATATACACAGACTTTGCAAAAGCATTTGACAAATGCGATCATGGCGTAATAGCCCATAAAATACGTGCTAAAGGAATAACTGGGAAAGTGGGGAGATGGATCTTCAACTTCCTAACAAATTGAACACAAATAGTGGTGGTCAACAGAGTTAAATCGGAGGCTGCCATAGTGAAGAGCTCTGTTCCACAAGGCACAGTACTCGCCCCCATCTTATTCCTTATCCTCATATCAGACATAAACAGAGATATACACCACAGCACCGTATCATCCTTTGCGGATGATACTAGGATCTGCATGAGGCTGTCATCTGCTGAGGACGCATTTAACCTCCAAGAAGATATAAACAAAGTTTTCCAGTGGGCAACGGTAAAAATATGATGTTCAATGAGGACAAATTCCAACTACTCCGTTATGGAAAACTGGAGATAATAACTAGAACAGAGTATACTACTGACTCCGGCCATACAATAGAGCGGAAAAATAATGTAAGGGACTTGGGAGTAGTAATGTCTGAGGATCTCACTTTCAAGGATCACAACAGTGCCACGATCGCAAGTGCAAAGAAAATGATGGGATGGATAATGAGAACGTTCAAAACGAGAGATGCCAAGCCAATGATGATCCTTTTTAAATCACTTGTTCTCTCTAGGCTGGA